AACACTAAATACTTCTCCTGATCACTCATTGCATTGCATAACATTCGTTAGATCAATTAGACTACTAACCTTTTCATCAACTGATTAGCTACCGACCTCTATATAAGCTTCGTCATGTATTCATCAGTCTTTCATCAGTCTACTGTCCAATGTAACCTTCTGTATTTTTGTGAATATATCTGTACATGACTTCGTATCATACGAAAACACTGATATCACTGATATTAGCCGTGGTTTCATTGACATCATTTAGTTACAATATGTACACAATATTTGATGACGTTGATTTGAACCTTGGTTTTGGTCTATGTTGTCTTTTTACCTCCAATATCTCATCTTCAATCATTTAATAACTGATTGAGAGTATTGAACGTGTCCAGCATTTAAGACTCTATGTTATTTTTCAAGGATTTCAATCCGCCTGGCATCTCTGGTTTAGCCATCCTCGCAGTTAACCTCGATAAAGATATTAGATATAGCGGTTATCATGCGAATATTTAAGTCTCTATTTCGTGCTTTTATGCGCTTCTTGGGTTACAGTAAATCCAAACGCTAGCTTTCTGCAATGCAGAACATTTCTAAATTACCACTATAACAAATTAAATATGATTTTGTCAAATAAATCGAATGGTGGTGCGAAAAATTCACATTCCTTGCCACTTTACATTTAAGAAATGATTAAAATTCATAACATTGATGGTTGAAATTTGCAATTCCTTGTCTGAATATATATAGATTAGTAATGTCATATCATAGGTGGACATAATTATTATCGGATGTTTATCTGCACTCATGTGAACACTTGACGGTGATAATCATAATCGGTCATAATCATTGACGGTGATAATAGTCATAATCGACCATGACTGAGACTGGGCTCTATGGTCGGTTTTCAGAGGGAGTCGGTTTATTCAGGATGGGCGTGACTTCGATTGAAACGACAATTACATGTACTATAAGCACGGTACAAATGAAAGTCATCGGAGTTTGCCTCCGGTGATTATATTTACATTTATTGTTTTGTTTCAATGTATGTACATACAATATTCATGTCTTGTTTGATAATTTATTGTGAAAACTATTTATGGTTGTATGGAGAATACATTTCCTTAACAAACGAATTTCCCAATGTCGAAAACGGAAAGTCTTTATTGTAGTGTTCAAGTTTCTTCATTGAAAATGTTACTGAACATTCAAGGGCGGTAGACATTAATTTCATCTTCCATATCACTAACTAACCAGTGATCAGACTCAGTGACAAAGATGATTTTCGGGTTGACAATGGTTGAGACTGGGGTAAAGGCTCACGAAAAATGGGAACGGTTTGTGCAAGTCCGATCCGCAACCAACAACCAGTACAGATGGAGTATCGATCGACGTGCATTTCATAATAAAATAAAATAAATGTAATCAGTCACATTGTATTATTTTGATTTGCCATTTTGATTTTCTAAAAGCTCATTATGTTCTAAGCCGATATGCCCAATATGTTTTGTGATTTAGAATTCACATCGATACTTTACACTGTATTTTAAACATATATATATATATATATATAAA